TGAGGCTTGTACCACAGGGTGGCAGAACCCAGGGCAAAGCCACGAGCTGGGGAGGAGGGATTCCTGGTAGCCCAGGAGGCAGGACGTGGGGACAGTGACTCAGTCTTGCCAGAGGCTCCTGGCCCCCAGTCAGGCTCTGAAGCGTCAGAGCCCCAGACCTGCGGGGGCATGGAGGGTCCCGAAGCTCACGGTGTGGGCAGATTGGCGCTGACAGCTTCTTGCCCTCCTGAGTCAGGGCCCTGAGAGTCAAAGTCCCTTCCCCGGCCAGAGAACACGGCAGCCCCGGGGACAAGGCATGTGTGGGTGGGCAGGCGGGGGGAGGCACGTTCAGTTCCGCTGACAAGTGTTTGTCAGGCGCCTGTCTGCGCCCGGAGTGAACCGACACGAGTAAGGCTTGGGTCCTGCCCTTAAGCAGCACGGCATCGCCTGCCATTTCGCGCGAGCGATACAGAAGCGTGCGTGGCACGGAGGAGGCGGCGGCCAACGCTCTGTGCAGGGCGAGGAAGGGCCGCCAGGATGAGCAGGTGCTCAGGAGTTGAGGCGGAACGTGCGGCACACACGGAGCAGGGGCCAGCGCGCATGTGCTGGCAGTCGCGTGGGAACCGCGCACCCGTGTATGTCTGCCTGTACGTGCTGGTGCCACACCACCGCCGTGCCACTTGCACAAAGGGGACAACGGAAGTCCCTCCACACTGGGCAGCTGCGGGCATGGAAAGAGGCGATTCACACAGAGCACTTGGAAGGGAGCCCGGCACAGAGTGGCAGTTAATAAGAGACACTGACTTTGGGGATCAAAACTGGCTACACCTGCCCACGTGTCTCGTCCATACACGTGGTGCCGCTGGAGGGCCGACGCTGGCCCTGGCTCTGAAGCCACCGCCTTCTCGGGGCTCGGCCTCCTGTGTGACATTCGGGCGGTTCTAACTGTTCCTGGCCCACATCAGGGCCTGTGTCCATGGGCCTCGCTGACACCCACACAGGTCTTGGTCAGCGACACGCCTTCGCCCTCAGCTGTGCCTCTCCTGATGCCTGCCCATCGCCCTGCCCTGCCCCCTGCCCTGACCTTCCCTTGCCCAGCCCTGCTCCCCCTGCCCTGACCTGCCCCCACCCTGCCCTGCCCCCCCGACCTGCCCACCCTGACCTGTCCCGGCCCTGACCGGTCGCTCCCATTCTCGCCACCTCAGCAAACTCTGCCCCTGCCCCATGGAGCCCTCCCCAGCTCCCCTGCTCTCTACTCTGAGGGTGCCCCCAGCCTAGCGCTGACCACACGCGGCCTGCTGTGTGTCCGGCTTCCTGAGTATGCCCCTGAGGGCAGGGATTCTGTCCTGTTCTTTGTCTCCCACGGTTCCTCCCGGGTGTGGCCCAGCGAGGACACACTTGTTTTGCACAGGGCTGACCGGCTGTGTGTGCTGCCCCATCGTGGTCCTGGGCAAAGCCGTGGGGTGTGGGTGTGCACCTGTGCGTGCACGGATGCCCCTGGCCACTATTTCAGTGAAGAGACCCCTCCGTGTAGCGCTGACCGGGAGCTGAGCCTGCGTCTTGGGGAGGCGGGGAGGGGCTGTCCCCACTTGAACCTCGATATCCCTGGAGCACGGAGCTCGCCACCTCTCTCTCCTCTGCCTGCCTGACATTCCCGGGTCCAAGACCAAGACCTCAGGCTGGGTGGGTGGGGGGCAGGGAGCAGGGGGCCCAGAGTGGGCAGGTAGAACTGCGTCCAATTTTCTGACACGGGGCCATCAGGATCCTAGAGCAGTGTGTCTACTGGAACTTTCTGAGACGGAGCAAATGTGCTACATCTGTGCTGTCCAGTTCGGTGCTTGCTAGCCATGTGTGGCTCCTGGGCACCCGAAACGTGGCTGGCGTGGCTGAGGGACTGAATTTTGTATTCAATTTAACTGTAAATAGCTGCTCTGAGGGCTATTTGCCTGTCCCCTATCTCGTCAGTACGGTGGCCTCCCTGGAGGGATCTGCTTGCCTCTTCTTGGAAAGGAGGCCACTGTTCTGCCCCCAGCACTCTGCCTGAGGGCTCACAACCGGAAAGTCCTTGCGGCAGCTTAACTGCATACCTCTGCCTGCTACAGGTCACTCTGTGGGGCCCAAGCTCCCAGCTCCCTGCAGAAGGGGAAAGACCCCGCAGACAGCAGCAGCTGGGAGAGGAGCTTCCTCACCCAGAGCCTGGCAGGAGATGAGTCCTGCTCGCACAGCCAGCTTCCCGCCCACAGAGGACCCAGAGCAGGAAGGCAGCAGGGTGGGGTTTGGAGGAGGCGGTGGGGGAGCCATGGGCAGGCATGGCGGAGGCAAAGGCAGAGGAGGAAAGAAACCAGGATGTGCTAGGCACTTTCCATGGTGGCTGGGGACTTCTGCAGATATATCTGATGCTCACACTCCCTAAAGAGGCTTCATTCTAGGGATGTAGAAGTTAAAGCTCAGAGAGGGTAAGTAACTTGCCCAGGGTCACACAGACAGGAAAGAGCAGCATCAGGATTTGAACCCATGTCTGCTTGGCCCTCAAGCCCATAGGGCACAGCTTACGTCCTGCTGGAGACGGTCCACCGAGGCGGTGATCTCCGTGGCTCCGGGCTGCCCGTAGTTCTCCGACAGAGTACGGTTCAAGTGCTGCTTCAGCTCGTCGCTCAGCTGAAGAGGGTGGGAGTGGAGGAGGCATCAGCAGGAGCCCCCGCCTGGACCAGGCACCCAGGCCTGCCCCACAGCCTTCCCCGCTAACTCCAGGACGCTGCGGGCTGTGGATGGCGCGATGGCAGAGGCTTCCCAGCAGCGTCACGGGCTGTCAGTGGAGACAGCGCAGGAGACGTTTGTGGGGAGGATGCTACAAAGACTGGGGCCCAACACGGCCAGAGGTGCTGCGGCAGAGCTGAGATGGGCTCGGGGAGACGGCGCAGGGCGAGTGTCACAGCTGGAAACTGGTGGGAGGCAATGGCGAGGCCAGACACAGGGCTGCTTTGAAATGTCTGCTCGTTTTAATTTCGATTACGAGGTGACATCCAAAATATTTACAATCGTTACCCTGCGGGCACCTTACAAGCGCTGGCTTGAAACAACCAGCAGGGCTGTACTGTCTCTGCAAGTCGAATGTCACCCTGGCCATGACCTCGAATCCCCGATTCAGAGGGCACCAGGGTGGGAGCGACAGGACTGGGCAGGGCACTTCGTCCTTGTTTGATCCCGGCAGGCAAGGCCTGCGCCTGTCTTCACAGCCTAACCTCGAACCCCGGCCCAGGCCTTTCTTCTTGGACGTCTTTGTCAGATGGACTCGTCCTCCAGACCATCCTTGGAAGGGGCCAGGGATGACCCAACCTCCCGCGGGAAGCTCCCGCCCCCACTCCCATGTGGAAGACATCAGCATCAGCGGACGTGGCAGAGAATTGCTGGAGCCGGGACAGGCAGCTGGGAGCCAGATGTGGGAGGACTGCTGGGCCTGGGAAATGGGACCCCCCTGGGTGTCTGCCTCAGCCTCCCCACCACAATGCATCCCCCACCCCCGTGGCTTCTTCGGGCACCGACAGAGAATGCAGGGGCGAAGCATCCACTCACCCTCTGGTAATACACGTGGGCCAGGATTCCCGCCACCAGCTCAACCAGGAAGATGACAAGCAACAGGCAGAAATACTAGGAGCAAGGAGAGAGGAGGTCACCAGGGCGACCTGGGCACCCCCATGGCAAACATTCCCCCAGAGCAGTAGGGGTGGCAGAGACACCGGCTTCCTCCTCTTGCCAACAGCTCTGGGCCCACCAGCCTCGCCGGCTGATCGCGCTGAGTTCCCCACTCACCCTGCCCTCCTTGCTCTGTTGTCAACTGAGGAATCCATCCAACCACCGGATACGTATTAAATACCTACTGTGTGTCGGGTGCCAGGCGGCATAAGACAGCTATTGCCCTCAAAGTTATCGGGAGTGGTGGTGGTGGCGGGCGGGGGACAGAAGAGTAAGCGATTACAAGCTGTGTTATAGGTTCTCCTATGGGGGAGACCCTAGAAACAATGAGAGGCTCTTGGTGGGGTGGCAGCCAGAGAGGCTTCTTGGAGGTGGTGACACCCGAGGGGCATCTCTAAGGACAAGTAGGCATTTCCCAAATGAAGGAGGAAGGAAGTGCATTCCAGCCAGAGGGGAGGGCACATGTGAGACCTGGAGCCTGTGGAAAGCACGGGGCCTTTGTGTTTGGGGACAGGACAGAGGCCAGGTGGCTGCAGCACAGGGCCGGGCGGGGCAGCAGCAGCCATAGCTCTTGAAGGCAGAGGCAGCCTCCCACACTGCTTGGCCTCCGCAGGCCCAGGCCTATTCCTCCCGCTCCCTGGCCCTGAGGCCGCTGGCTGTGCACTGAGTGTGACGCAGGAGGACGGGCCCTGCCTCCCTCCCCTCTCCCACCTAGGTTTCCACAGTCAGGGAGGCTCCCTGCGACCCTAGTGACCCTAGTGTGTTCTTGTAGGAGCCAAGGGTCAAAAAACGAATTGGGCTGGGAGGGAGCAGGGAAAGGGGGATGAAGCGGGCTGTAAGCAGCCAAGGAGCGGGGAATAGAGAAAGGGGGGACGGGCAAGGGGGAGGGGGAGAGGGAAGCAGGAAGGAGGGAGGGGAGTACTACTGGCCAAAGCTGACCCCACTCTAGGGAAGCTCAGCCCCACTCAGGAGCACATCTCCTGTCCCGGGGCTGTCCCCAGGCACGGTCTGCCCAGCTGGCCACAGCAGGGTAGCAGCCGGGTCGCTGATTCTAGGGGAGGCCCAGCCTGCTCACCCAGCACGTGGGCAGGAGGGAGACGGCAGCGGGGGCTCCCAAGCATGGAGGGGGCTTCGGCCTTGCCTGACATCTCCTGGACCACCCAGCAGGGAGCCTGGTGGGGGTGGGGCTGAAGAAACACAAGGGAGGGGACATTTCTTTTCACGGGGAAAGAGCTGTGTCCTAAGAGCAAGGCTACCTTTCCAGTTAAGTGAATCATCCCCCTCCCTCCAAACCCACAATTTCACTGTGCCCTGTCTATCATCTGGCAGCCTCAGGGACACAGGAGAGCGTATAGTCCGGAATAACAGTGCCGGTGCTGCCCCCTCGTTCGTGGGGCCTGGGGCAAAGAGTGCCAAGTGAGGTCTCTGCCCCTCCTTCCCTACCCCAGGCTCTACGCTACACCAGGAAAGGCCTGACCTGCATATCCCAGCTCTGTCCACCCCTCCCCAGGGTCAGACGCCCTTGGCTGAGGACGTGAGGGCTGGGAGTGATGCCGTGTGGGTGCAGGCTGGGGGCGCAAGTCCCAGGGTCCCATCAGCCACACCTGCGCAGATGCAGCATGGTGGTGTGGGCTGTCTGGACAGAGGATCCCAAGCTCCTGGGTGCCCAGGGGGTCTAGAAGTTGGGGGAGGGAGTGGCAGGTTCCACAGCGCACGTTCTCTCGGCCCCAGGCAAGGGCCCTCTTTGTCTGGGTCTGCAGGTGGTGCAGAATGGTACAGGGTAAGGTGAGGCACAAGGCTAACAGAAGGTCTATGGGTGGTTCCTCTCTGCTCGAGGAGCGTCCAGGAAGCAGGGCCTGCAAACCTGCAGAAGGCTGGTGGAAACGTCAGCTAACTTGGGTTTGAGTCTGGTGTCCACCACGTGCTGGTGGGTGCCTTGGTATAAACTGGAAAACTGAGCTCCGATGAGAAAAACGTGGCTCAGCAAGACTTGCATGGGCTGAATTTCAGCCTTCACTGGTCCCCTCATGTGGGATGAAAGCTTTAGGGCCATCCCCAGTGGCCCCGACCCTGGCCTGTGTCCTCGCCAGCAGACGGGGAGGAGGGTGGCATCACCTGCCCTGCCCTCCTACAGCGGCTGGGAGCGCACAACGCTCCCCCGGGGAAACGACGCCCTTCACGGTGACGTGACCTGCCGCCTGCCCTCCCGGGGCTCCCGGTCAGCAGCATGAGGTGTGCAGTCAGCCCAGGCCAGCGCGCCCCCTCCTGGGAGCCGCCCAGCCTGTCACACAGAGCGGGATGCATGGACTCCCGCCTGGGAGGTTCTCCCCGCCACGCACTGCTCCCCCAGGGCTCCTCTCTGAGGTGGGTGCCCTTCAGGCGGCTCCAGGTTGCCCTCCACCCCTGTCCTGCTGCCCAGGACCTAAAGGCGGTGACTGCCAGTTCCCTCCCGTGGCCTCCAGTGTGGGAGGAGACGGCGGAGCACCCACGACGGAGCAGGAGGACCCAGGCCACTAGCAGCGAGGACAGCCACACCCTGGCGTCTCACCCCCTTCCCTGGCTCCATCCCTGCCGTGAGCTGTGAGTCAGGGCCGGAGGACAGTCCTGAAGCGGTGGCACTTCACGCTGCTCCCCTGGGGGTCACTGTCATGGCTGCTATTGAAGATGGGGTGGGAGCAGGGAGGGTGGAAGGGAGAGAAACTGAGCCCACCCCTCAGTTTAACGGCAGACTTAAGTAGTACTCGCCGGCCCTCAAAGTCTTGTCCAGGCGCAGCGAACAGGCTAGCCCGCCCGCCCGGGCCGGGAGGAGCAGGGAAGATGGCTTGGCAGAGGCTTCCGTGTGGGGACAGTCCTCCTGACAGAGGAGCTCCATCGCGCAAAGACGCCCAGGACGGGGCTGAGGCCGGGTGCTGGGTGGGCACAGGCTCTGGCGGCTTCCACAGTGGGAGGGCTGCAGGTGTGTGACTCACCTGGGCAGAGGAGGCCCTGGGTCACGGCTCCCGGTGTGACAGCCCCCAGAGGCAGGCGAAGGGTCCCGCTCACGGAGACCCTCTGGCCCTGAGGCTCCGGGCAGCCCTGCCCAGCTGGCTGGCTGGGGTTCTGGGCAGTGGGCCAGGCTGCCCCTCCACCCTTCCCTTTGCCAGGCCTGACTCCCTCAGTCTGGCACAGTCGTCTCGGGCACTTCCCGGGCACGAGCTGGCTGCGCGAGTCTGTGACGCGCTGCTCACGTTGTCGCCGACAGTCCCTGCGCGCAGGCAGCCGTCCGGCTCCGGCCTCTGCCCTCGCTGCCTGCTTGTCCTTCGCTCCGGCTCCGCTCAGCCAGCCCGGGCGGCAGCGATGCCCACCTGCCGGTCTCTGGGCACAGCGCTCTGCTTTGCGCCTCTGCTCAGCCGGACCAGCGCCACCCGCGTCCTCCCGCTGCCGCCCTGCTCCTTCCCGAACCGCGCGGCTGGGCCCCTGCTCTACGAAGGCTGCTTTGCTCCGGTGACCACCCTGCGTCCCAGGGTGACCGTGAGCTTCTGGGGAACAGGGACCACACCTCAGGTTTCTGCCGGCTCCCCCACGGTGCCCGGCATGGCGTTTAGTGGACATCCTGCTTAAGTCGCAGGAGTGCCCGTTCTCGCCAAGCGCGCCTGTGAGGCAGAAGGAACCGGCCGGGGCCGCCGGCCCCACGCTGGGGGCGCTAGCTTAATCCTTTTCTGACCCGAGAGTGACACAGAACTGACCTTAGTGAAAATGGCACCAGTGGTTCTCAGCCCGGCACAATTTTGTACCTAGGGGACATCTGGCAACGTCCGGAGACATTTTTTGTCGTCACAACTGTGGGAAGAACTACTGGCACCTAAGGGTAGTGCCCAGGGGTGCTGCTGAAGGTCCCACAGTGCTCAGGACAGTCCCCACAGCAAAGAGTGACCTGGCCTACAATGTCAATAGTGCCAAGGCTGAGAGACCCCGGGTGACATAAACACCTCCAGGTTCTCAGGCTGTTGCTGGGACTTGATTTGCTTATATGCCCCTGTGCATTATGGGAGCCACAGAAAGAACACAGATGGGGTTGGGGCAGGGACTGGGCGGGGACAGCGAGAGCAAAAGCACAGAGGCTGGCGGCGTTGCTGTGCACAGGCTCTGTGTAAACACACGGGTGTTTCCAGGCTGGTGCAGACAATTTCGTTCTGTTTACTGGCTGCTTGGCCACCAACGCTTGGCTCAGGCACGGCCTCCACAAAGCCCTCCCTGGGCCAGAAGTTTCTGAACTCATCGCCAGCATTCTTGTTTCTGAAAATCTCTCTGACTCCGGGGCCTCACTACTTGTCTCGCTCTTTGGGACACTTTGATCCCTGCTTGCCCCCCTGGCTCTGACCTGTACCCTGTTCTGTCTTCACAGTCCCTGTGCACCGCGGTATGAACCGAACCTGTGCCTCTGACCTCCAGCCCAGCCTCTGGCTCCACTCTGATTTTTGTGACGGGCCTGCACCTGCGGACCCAGGGCTGCCTGGTCCTTCCAGAAGCGACCCGATGGCTTGGTCTGACAGAAATGGCTACTGAGGATTCCAAAGAAAGCTCTTTAGTGTCTGCCCCCAGAGCACTCCATGAGAACTACCCCATTTCAAAATGTGCCAAACTAGACCCAAAACGTGGAAGAATCAGTGTGTTAAGCATAGAATGGGACTGACACGTTAATCTTCCCCTCTGTACCAAAGTGGTTTTTCTTCTCTCATTTTTTAATGGGATGGATTGAATTAGAAGCAAAGTTGGATTGCTTTCTAAAACTGCAGATCCAAAATGAAGCTGAACAGCATAGCACTCTCTGGACCAAACCAATACCTCCTACAATGGGGGCTCTGCAGGAAATATGCGGAAATATGTCTCACTGTGACTTTAAGGTGATTAATTAGAATGTGAGTCTTGGGATGGCCTTACACTGCATGGGGGCAAGCTGGGCCCCAGATGGAGTT